TAAGAAAAGATCAGGGAAGAAGAAAGTTACCGGAATGGATAGTTTCGTTCAATCTGTAATAAAAAGATGTAATCATAATAACTACATAACAAGCAGCGAAAATCCGTACCGTAGAAAGGCTTCGAAAAATTTAAAGAAGATATAAATTTTAATGGCTCGGAATGAAGCTTACGACGAATTATGAAAGAGCTAGGCTTCAAATGGAAAAAAAGAACAGAAAATAATCGGAAGCTGGTAAATGAAAAAAGTAACATTCGATTACTACGAATCGAATATCTTCAAAAAATAATTAATTATAGACAAAAAAGAAGACCGAATCGACCGAGTTGTAAACTACGCCGATGAGCCCTATGTCGACTCATCACGATGATAGCGACTCGGGTGATGAAAACAGTGATAATGATGATGGTCAAGATTATGATAACGAAAAAAAAATTACAAATACCAGCTTCGCTTCAACTGAACCAAGACCTGGCAACAGCTCTAGTTTTGAATTAATAGAAGGAATATCTATTTTACCCCAAGATTAAATTATTACAATTATTAACTTATATGTTTTGTTGATGTTCTAATAAATATATAAATAAATACATATGTTGATTTTAATAATTTAATAGCATTATGACGCAGAGTAAGTAATGTTTTTGCACGTGAGTGTACCATGCGCAAACTTACCCCCACTACGTCAACAAATGCTCAAGAAGTTTGCCGGTTATTATAGCTTTGTCTAAACAACCTCCTGATAATCCATCAACTGAGACAACCAATCAATTATCATATGGCTAGCTTATTTCAATATGAGTGGGCCAGTTATACAACCTCTTCTACACTCTCCAAGTTCTGTTATAAGCATCAGAATGGGTTCTATAGTGGAATTAACATCCACATACTATCTCACAGTTCAACTATTGGTAGCTAAACACAAAAGCAACAACATAGGATAAGTCTTAATAAATGAGATTAGCTAAATTTAGGAAACTACTGTAAAAAATATAAATTACCATTTCACGAACCACATTCCTGGCCTTCTCAGTAAGCTGTCCAATAAGCCCAGCATATAATACTGAAGTGGCATTATCTAATGAGCTTTTGATTGGTATACCTGAAAGTACAAATAAATGTTTTGAAAACGTTTAGAAAAAATTGAATGCAAACTTTTATCAAGTTAATATTTCAGTCATAGAAACCAGGCAGGATATAAGTAGAAAATAGTTTAGGCAATATATAAAGTTTATGTTGATTCCATGACTACAAGAAAAATCGACCAAACCTTCGTGGTTTACGATGACGACACCCATCACCCCTTTGTGGGCTTGGATTCTCTTGATCGTTTCTTCGACCTCGGTGGCCTAAAATGAAATGAGCAAAACACTGAAACAGTTTTATCACAGTAAAAATTTCCAAAAGAAGCATATTGTTTACCATTATTTATGGGCCTCAAAACTAAAAATCTCTACCACTGACGAAACTACTGACAACTCATAAACGTCTCGAATATATTTTGAATATATTAAGTGTATAATCTATGCTTAAACGAATCACAGACAGACTAATCCTAATTAATCTATTCTTTGAAATCTCCACTGAAGTAGGAAGAAATCAGGTGAATGAAGATAGCCCCTCAAAAAAAATTTTTTTTCCTATTTTCTACTTATTTTCTATTAACGTTTGTTCATAATTTGTTCATGATTGTTCACTGTTAATAATTGTTTGTTCTGCATTTATTTATTTAAAAAAAATATTTAAAAATATACCTACAAGTTAGCCCCTCTAATGCAATTTTTTATATTTTTTCATCCTTAATGACTCGTAAATATTCATTTTCGATTGTTCTTATATAAAACACGTTTGTTCTCTTTCGAAATTATTAGTTTTTTGTTTAATTTACTATTTTTATTAGTTGAATAAATGTATACAAAATATGTGTACTGCGCATGCGTCAACTATAATGCCTAAACTTTCTACGCGGTTTTAATCGTGAAAAAAAAACCAAATATAAATCCTGAAGGAGCAATTAATTGGTATACAGTTTAATTAAAAAAATTAAAAAATAAATAAATGAAATAATGTGCATTGGCGTTAAGTTAGACCAAATACATTTTTTCCATCCTCCTACTTATCGCTATGAAGGTATAAAAAAGATAGGGAGTTCACATAGGTAATATAAACAAATAAGTAAATATGTTCATTATTTATCTTTCAAGAGATAATGTAGGTATACATTATAATAACTTTTTTACACAGTCGAAATTATATTCCTAACATTAGTAAAATAACATTTTAATACGATAGGTAAGAGGATGGAAAAAATGTATTTGGTTTACGCGAATGCACATTATTTCATTTATTAATTTTTAAATTTTTTTAATTAAACTGTATACCAATTAATTGGTCCTTCAGGATTTTTAATTGTTTTTTTTTTCACGATTAAAACCGCGTAGAAAGTTGAGGCATTACAGTTGACGCATGCGCAGTACACATATTTTGCATACATTTATTCAACCAATACAAATAGTTAATTAAACAAAAAATGAGTAATTTCGAAAGAGAACAAACGTATTTTATATAAGAACAATCGAAAATGAATATTTACGAGTCATTAAGGACGAAAAAATATTAAAAATTGCAATCGAGGGGCTAACTTGTACATACATTTTTAATAATTTTTTTAAAATAAATAAATGCAGAACAAACAATTATTAACAGTGAACAATCAAGAACAAATTATGAACAAACGAATTAATAGAAAATAAGTAGAAAACAGGAAAGAAAATTTTTTTTGAGGGGCTAACTTCAGTCACCTGAAGAAATCTCAAATACCGTAAAATGGGGCGATTAGGGACAAATTCCAACTTTATGACCAATTTTAAGGTAGTTGTTGATGTATATAATGCTATATCAGGATCAAAATGATTGAGTCTTGGGGGCATCTTTGTTGTCTAATTTAAAATTATGCATCTGACATTCCAGTTTAAGCAAAAAATGCAAAAATAGGTGTAATCCCTATTTACCCGAA